ATTCGTCGGAATCTTTGTTTTTTTATGTATATTCACCGATTACTCGAAGACGCCGGAACCGATTTGGAAAATTATTTTTTTGTTTTCAAGGGTATAGTTCTCAGGTAGTCCCATTTAAATTTTATCGAAATCGGTCGAGCGGTTTTAAAAAAAATCAACAATAAATTATATTTATATTGAAGTCGGTTGTACAAAATTTTTAATTTTACCACTTGTCAGTAATAAGGGTCTTCGATTTTCTACACTCACCATACGAAACACAGCAGTATTAGGCGCCGGATCAAACGTGCGTCCGACGAAAATGATCGTTCGACCGTGCGTTTAAACATACTCATATCTGCGGAATGTTCTATTGAAGAGCACAAAGAGGTTGGCTTGGAAGTATGACCGCTCAGATTAATGAATAGGTGCACATAATTGCTTACTAAATGCTCAATTCAAATCCGCAATTGCTCACATTAATAATTTATTATTTAATTAATTATTAATAATTAAAAGTACAGAATTGTTTTTGCCTATTACACTTCAAACCAATAAACTTTTTTTTAAATGAATAACTGCTCATAATTGCTCAAATAATGCTCAATTAAAATTCGCAATTGCTCACACTATTAATAAATTATTAAATTAGTAATTAATAATTTAAAATACAAAATTGTTTTTGTCTATTATACTTAAAATCAATAAACTTTTTTATAAATGAATAAAAGCTCATATTTGCTCACGAAATGCTCAATTTAAATCCGCAATTGCTCACACTATTAATTAATTATTAAATTAGATATTAATAATTTAAAATACAAAATTAATTTTGCCTAAACCGCTCATATTAATGAATAAGTGCTATAAATTGCTCACTAAATGCTAAATTAAAATCCGCAAATGCTCACACTATTAATTAATAATTTAATTATTTATTAATAATTTAAAATACAAAATTGTTTTTTCCTAAACCGATCAGATTAATGAATATGCGCTCATTATGCTCAATTCAAATCTAAAATTGCCCACATTATTCGTTTATTATTTTATACGTGGTAGAGCCATGCTGCAGCTATATTATGGTTGTAACACGAATGGGTCGGATCGACCGGGGAAGGACCACGCTCTCACAGAATACCAGCGTAAAATAGCAGCTTAACGCTGCTGTGTTTCGCATGGTGAGTGTAGAGAACCGGAGACCCTTTTTACTGGAAACGAGGCATTCCATCTTAGTCCTCACGGGTGACAACGCATCTGCATTTTGATTCTTAATCGAAGATAGATGTAGATGTCTATGGGCCACAGCAACCACTTACCATCAGGTGGACTGTGTGCTCGTTTGTCACCCTTATCCTATAAAAAAATATATTAGTTATTAATAATTAAAAGTAAAGAATTGTTTTTGCCTATTATACTTCAAACCAATAAACTTTATTTTAAATGAATAAGTGCTCATAATTGCTCACAAAATGCTCAATTAAAATCCGCAATTGCTCACGCTATTAATTAATTATTTATTAATAATTTAAAATACGAGATTGTTTTTTCCTAAACCGATCAGATTGATGAATATGCGCTCATAATTGCTCACTAAATGCTCAATTCAAATCTGCAATTGCTCACATTATTAATTTATTATTTAATGAGTTACTAATAATTTAAAATATAAAATGGTTTTTGCCTATTATATTTAAAATCAATAAACTTTTTTATAAATAAATTAGTGCTCATATTTGCTCACGAAATGCTCAATTTAAATCCGCAATTGCTTACACTATTAATTAATTATTAAATTAGATATTAATAATTTAAAATACAAAATTAATTTTGCCTATACCGCTCATATTAATGAATAAGTGCTATAAATTGCTCACAAAATGTTCAATTCAAATCCGCAATTGCTCACACTATTAATTAATTATTTAATTAGTTATTAATAATTTAATATACAAAATTGTGTTTGCCTAAACTGCTCAGAATAATGAATAAGTGCTCTAAATTGCTCACTAAATGCTCAATTCAAATCTACATTGGTCACACTATTAATTAATTATTTAATTAGTTATTAACAATTTAAAATACAAAATTGTGTTTGCTTAAACCGCTCAGATTACTGAATAGGTGCACATAATTGCCCACTTAATGCTCAATTTAAATCCGCAATTGCTCACATTATTTATTTACTATTTAACTAGTTATTAATAATTAAATGTACAGAATTGTTTTTGCCTATTATACTTAAAATCAATTAAAAAAAATTTAAATGAATAATGGCTCATAATTGCTCACAATATGCTCAATTCAAATCCGCAATTGCTCACACTATTAATTCATATCTGAATTAGTTATTAATAATTAAAAATACAAAATTGTTTTTGCCTAAACCGCTCAGATTAATGAGTAAGTGCTATGAATCGCTCACTAAATGCTCAATTTAAATCCGCAATTTCTCTCATTATTAATTTATTATTTAATTAGTTATTGATAATTAAAATACAGAATTGTTTTTGCCTATTATACTTAAAACCAATAAACTTTTTTTTAATGAATAACTGCTTTAATTACTCACAAAATGCTCAATTTAAATCCGCAATTGCTCACACTATTAATTAATTATCTAATTAGTTAATATGAAGATGAAGCAATAAAAAAATATGATAATGAAACTGAAACTTTAAAAAATGATGAATCTCGAAGACTTATTTTAAATCATACATCTGATTCTGAATTTTCATCAACCCCTGTTGCAATTTGTGTCGAAATACCAAATGAAAAAAATAGTATTTCATCTAATAAAGATTTAACTTTGTCTGAGCCAAAATTCCATTCCACCTTTAAAACATTTCTTGATACATCAAAACCTTCAAATATTTCAGCCAAAGAAAACGAAGAAAATAGGTTTTCAATTGTCTTGGACGAGAAACCGATTAAATTTAAAACTCACGAAACTCAGAAGTGAGTCAAAAGAAAACAAATTTTAACAAATACTCCATGCCAAACAGTCAAACGAGGAAAATATGTTGTTCCATTTCCATTAATAAAAGTCTTACATCAAAATGCAGCAGCCAAAAATTCCAAAAAAACTAAAAAGCGGCAAATAATTCAAAATGGCTGCATCAGTCACCCTCAGAAGTTTGGTAAGTTAAAATTATCAATAAAAAATACTTGCCCATTTGATAGTATAGTTGAATTTTTTTCTTTTGCTTATTTAAACTTCAAAAGCTTAAAAAAATTATAGACAATCAAAAAAGTAAGTCTGAATTCCTAGAATTGTTATTATTTTATGCTGAATTTGGAGCTACTGCTGTATTCAAAAGTAAAAGATTTAATTTATTACGCAAGATATATGGAGAACATAATTACTTGATTGAATGTCAAGATGATGTAACTGATTTAATTCAGAATTTACTGATACATTATGAATCTATCACTGAACAGACATTTTGCGTGAGATGTAAATGTTCTGAAGCAAAAAAAAAGATCAGTATTAAACTTTAACGTTACATTAATATGGAATAATGCCTTTGATTTTCTAGAAGAAAGTATTTTGAGCGATATTGAAAATGAAAAGCTTTTCTGTAAAAAATGTAAAGAACATGTAACCGGTCGACCACTAAATTTCGATTCATACGTATGTTTGAATGTGAACCATTTTTATGAAAAAATACTTTCCTCTGAAAAAGATAAATAACAAACATTTTCAAAAAGTAATTTGCGAGAAATCCCTATAAATTAAATATTTGGAATAAAAAATATTTACTGACTGGAGTGATTGCATTCCAACCATCGAGTATAACAGATGGTGTTGGACATTATATAGCTTATACTAGGACAATTCAAAACAAATGGACCCATCTAAATGATTTAAAACAGACACCAACAGTTTTAAAAACTAAACTACCTGATCTTCGAATAGTTTTAGTACTTTATGTCTTAGTGTAAAAAATCTATGTATAAGATTTACTTGATTATATATTTTTGTTTACAAAAAAAATTCTAATATTTATATTTTAATAGGATAAAAAAACTAAATTACATTAAAATTAAAATTTAATTATATCATAAAAATTATGAAAAAAAAAAACAAAAACTAGTAACTTAATTATCATAAAGTCCAACTCCCCGCGGTATCGTGCCAAGAACGCTGCTTGCGTTTTCCCACTGAATGGGTGTGCTTAGCCTTTGAGCGAGAAAAGAACCAGCCCTCTCATCACCAGCAACAATGACCAATCGTAGATGGAGTTCCTTTAGGAACTTCCCCGCATGTGGACCTCACGGACCGACAGTCTCTATTTATATTCTCTATTTTACTATAAATAGATAATATATATTATCTATTTATAGTAATTCAATCAACGTCAACCTTAAAAATACGTCGTAGTAAATGTATACAATAAATAAGAATATTTTGGCTATAATTTTTGAAAACATAAATCAACAAATTATTATAAAGATTTCGCATTACTTAATCGTATGGTAAGTATGTTATTTATCGCAAACTAAATTTCATTTCATTTCAAAATTAATAGAACACATAATTGGAAAAATAAAATATCTGAAAATACATTTATTACGGCCTTCACTTAATGAGAGTCTAGTGACAACAACCATAACATAGGAATGCAGCATGTAAATTACAATTATTATTATGCAAAAGTTTTAGGTGATGTTACAAAAATTAATTTTAAGAAATACTGAATAGAGTAATTTATTTAAAAAAATTGAGATAGTCCAATACTTTGGTGATAAATAAAAGGCGTGCGTCGAGTACAGGCATTTATTTGAACTGACTACGGAAATACAATGCGCGCTTACCGGCTAAAACTACCCACCACATTTTATATTATGCAACACCTCCACCCTTATTTTGTACTATACATAATGACTAAGAACAGAAGCTATACTTAAACATAATTATTTTATATTGTTACAAATATTCTACCTAAGAAAATAATATCAATGAACCTACTACTCAAATAAATATTACATACAATTTCTCTCTTTCAATTTTTTAATTGTTACTTGTAACAATCATCTATACCATATCGTCTGACTGGTTTACATACACGGCGAAAACCACGCGATTCATTAGTGACATTGTTGTTCGAGCCATGATTATCTATTTCCTGCACATTGGACACGTTAGACGTTGGCGAAGTATCCGTTAATACAGTGTCAGTGTCGTCGGTTGGGTTTGGCGATGCGCCCTCCGGTACGGCCGCGCTTGGTCTGTTAACTGGCGCGTCAGACTGTTGGTCGTTGTTTACTGGAAACATTAGCAAAGGGCGGAATCGTTTTACAGGTGATTCGCGTATTGTGTTACTGTTACGATTGTGATTATTATTACGTGTTGAGTTTACTATTTTGGTTTCGTTTGACACTCTTCGCTTTAGTTGGTCGATATGTCTGTGTTCCTCGGTTCCAGTGATAGATCTGACTTTGTAATCCGTACTACCTGTCCTCTCTATTATTGTCCCCGCCGTCCACTTATCAACGCCGCGATAGTTTCTAAACCAGATCTTCTCACCTGCCGCAAATTGTCTAATCGCTCCCTCAGCTGATGTTTCTGCTCGCTTCTGCCGAGCTTTTACTAATTCTTTCTGATCAGGTTTCAAACAATCTAAACGCATGCGTAAATTACACCCTATGCACATTTTTGCAGGACTTTCACCGGTCGTGTAGTGTGGTGTATTTCTATAAGCTAATAGGAATCTATATAAAGACGTGTGTATGTCTGTTCTACACTTAATTGCTTTTTTAATATTACGTTTACACATTTTAACGGCAATTTCCGCCGCCCCATTCGAAGCCGGGTGATATGGAGCTGAAAAAATTTGTTCTATTCCATTGGAACTTAAAAATTGTCTGAACTCGTTACTGAAAAATGAAGGACCGTTATCACTGACCACTTGTTTTGGTAAACCGAATCTCGCCCACATTTCTCGCAACTCCTTTATAACAGCTTTCGCTGTAGTGCTATTCATTTTAATTGCCTCTATCCACTTTGACTGAGCATCAATTACAATAAGGAAAGTTTGTCCCGCTATCGGCCCCAAAAAATCTATGTGTATCCTGGTCCATGGGCGGTCTGGCCATGACCATGAGCGCGGTGCGTACGCCGAAGGTGTGTCAGCTACCGCTGCGCACACGGTGCAGACACGGCACGCTGCTTCTACAGCCTCGTCTATGCCCGGCCACCACACATGGCTCCGAGCTAGCGCCTTCGTTTTTACTACCCCCATATGCCCCTCATGAAGCTCCTTAATAACTTTATCCCTGCAAGAGTCTGGAATAACGACCCTATGTCCCAACATTACACAACCTAGTTCCATGTACAACTCATTTTTTCTGTTAATATATGGTTTTAATTCTCTCATTTCGACGTCGTTCGGCCAACCGTCATTAATATATCTGACTTCCGACGTCGTTTCTTTTTTTAATTTATGTACATACATACATAAACACTCACGCCTGTCACCCAGAGGGGTAGGCAGAGACTACGGACTTCCATTTGGCGCGATCCTGACAGACCTCTCTCGCCTCCTTTACATCCATATATCTACGCATACACGCTCGTCGGTTAAGGGTACTCCTAATCTGGCCCATTCTTAACGTATCGCCGATTTGGTCGATAAACCTTCGTCCCTTCCCGACCCTGCCGTTCACTTCTGCAACATAAATTTGCTTAGTCACTCTTTCCTCGTTCATTCTTTCTACATGACCAAACCACCGAAGCATTCCTTTCTTAATCCTTGTCACAACGTCATCTTGCAAACCACACTTTTCTCTTATCACACTATTTTTCACCCTGTTATTCAGATTCAGCCCTAGCATACTCCTTAAGCATTTATTTATGTAGTATTTCTACAGCATTTATTCTACTCTCATGCTTCTTCTGCAAGACCCACCTTTCACTACCATACATTAAAGTAGGGACTAACACAGCATTATGAATTGCCATACGTGCCTTAGTTGACACATTTTGACACCTCATAATAGCGTGTAGAGCCCCATTCACTCTATTTCCTGCGTTCACTCGTCGTTCTATATCCTTATCATATCTACCATCCCTGCTAAACACACATCCCAAATATACAAACTCATCTACTTGCTCTACCAACTCCCCTTCTATTCTTATTTCACATATCGTTTTACTTTCTTCTCTTTCAAAAACCATAACTTTCGTCTTACTTGCGTTCACTTTCACTCCCTTTTCTTTTAATGTCCTGTTCATTAATGTAACCATCATTTGCAACTCGGCCGCCGACGATGCAAATATGACTTGATCATCGGCGTACAAAAGGCATTTGACGGTTGACTCACCCATTCTCAACCCACATTCTTCAACTTTCAAAGTTTGCAAACAACTGTCCATAAATAGATTAAACAGCCACGGGGAAGCCACACATCCCTGTCTGACACCTTTATGAATGCCAAACCAGTCCGAGTAGACCCCGTTGATCCTGATACAAGCACTAGAGTTCCTATAAAGAGACCTTAATGCCTGTATCAAGCCAGCGCTCAACCCAAATGAGTTCAGTGTTTGCCATAACACATTCCTGTCCACTCTGTCATAAGCCTTTTCCAAGTCCATGAACGCACAAAAAGCTTTCTGGTTTTTAGCCAAAAACTTCTCCGCTATCATGCGCATGGAAAAGACTTGATTCGTACACCCCATCCCCTTTCTAAATCCAGCTTGCACATCCCAAAATTTTCCATCAGTTTCTTCCATAACTCTTTCAATTAACACTTTAGCATACAGTTTACCCACAATGCTAAGCAAGCTGATACCACGGTAGTTTTTACAGTCCTGCTGCGACCCCTTTCCCTTATATATTGGGACTATAACGGCTTTGCACCAGTCTTGCGGTACCCGCTTCAGTTCCCAACATAAATTAAACAAGGTATACAGCATGCCTGCAACCACACCCACACCAGCCCTTAGCATTTCGAGTGATACTCTATCATATCCGGCTGCCTTACCTGCTTTCATGCTTTTCATTGCTTTCATTATTTCATATACACTTATCTCCCTACCTCTCTCCACTTCTTCCGGAATTTTTATTTCACTTATTTCAGACGACTCTTCACTCTTAAACACGCTTTCAAAGTATTCCTTCCATCTCTTTAAATTCGAAACGTCATCATTCAACATGCAACCATTCTCGTCTCGCATAGCATTCATTCTAGGCTGTTTTGAATTTCCCCTGGCAGTTCTTACGAGTTCCAGAACATTTTAATATTTTCCTGGAAGTTATCAGATATCCTTCTATCATTTTTATCTATCCTTTCTTGCTTTTTCCTTTCAACAACTTCTTTTACTCTCTTATTTATACGTCTAAAGTCTGCCTTTTTTCTTTCAATCTCATCATTCATACCGCCAGAATTACCAACTTTAGTTGCTAGTAAATCTAGCCATGCTCTCTTCTTTGCTTCAACTTCCATCCGTACCTCATCATCCCACCACAACGTATTACTTTTCCTTTCATTCGTTCTCTTACTTACACCACATACTTCGGTGGCTGCATCCACCAAAACTTTCTTAATATTATTCCATACATTCTTCAATTCTAAATCTTTCATACATAATTCATTCAACCCACTTATATTTTCCCTCAGTCTGCATTTATATTTCTCTTTCACACCTTCATCTTGTAACCTCTCTATTCTTATACGCTGTAACGCAGTGGTAGACACAGATGTCCGATGCCGCCAACGTCTGAATAGACCATTAATTCGGCATAAGACCAAGTAATGATCCGTCCCTACGTTGGACCCCCGGTAAACCCTTGTATCTATCACTGCGCTCCTCATTCGTTCATCCACAATTATAAAATCTATCATGCTTCTATCATCCCCTCTTTCCCATGTATACATGTGAATCCTCTTATGGCGAAAGAAAGTGTTCGCCACAAAAAGATTCTTTTCCACACATACGGTGAGGAGGTCTTCACCATTCTCATTTATTCTTTCATCGCCAAACGTTCCTAATATCCTTTCATAACCAGACCTCTTCACCCCAACCCTTCCATTAAAATCTCCTAACATAATAATATTTTCATTTTCCTTACATTTCATCAACACCAGCCTTACCATGTCCCAAAACTGCTCTCGGATATAAGTGGGCTTAGACATATCTGGGGCGTACACCCTTAGCACAAACAACTTCTTTTTAAGCCCACTTTCATTCGTATCCATAGCAGCCTTGGGCTAACACATTCATACTCTTTCACACATTGACCCATTCTTTCTGAAAGGATGACACCGACTCCCTGGCATGCCCTCTCGGTCTCGTCTACTCCAGACCAGTAAGCGGTATACATGCCATGTGCAGTGACATCTCTTCCCTTTCGTTTCGTCTCGTTCACACATAACACATCTATTCCTCTATCATTCATCATTTCGCATACTTCATCCATCTTATCATTCATTGCTCCACATACATTCAGCGTAGCCAGACGGGCCTCCGCAATCCACTTTTCGCCCCCCCGGGAGACAGGACGTGACGGGTGGCGAACCTCGTCGCCGGTTTTTCTCCCGGAGATTCTTCGCACCCCTGCCCCATTAAAGGGGCGCCGGGAACTCGGGGCCATTTCTTTTTCTTCTTGGCTCATGGTGCGAACTAAGGGGTGGTAGATTTTACGCCGCTACCATACGGCGAGGAGCCGAGTCTATCCTGTCGGCTTTGTCGCTCGTTTAGCACCACCCGGGGGACACGTGTAGGGTAGGCCTACGATTAGGTGGTCGAAGCCTACGGACGCGAGCGACTCATCTAACTACTAATTTATGTGATTCCAATAGTAACGCTTCTGAAGCAAAATGTAAATATGTTTGTTTTGGGGTGTCTAATTCTTCCTTAGAAGCCCCTTCCTTATACTCACTAATCAACCTAGACAAAACATCTGCTGTATTTTTGTCCGTGCGAATGTATTCTATATTAAAATCATAAGTGGATAACTTAATAGCCCCGCGTTGTAGTCGACTAGCCGCCGTGTTGGGAATACCCGCCTGCGGTCCAAAGATTGTGACTAACGGTTTATGATCTACGGAAGTGAACTTTCTACCAAATAAATATTGATAGAATTTGTCCATTGCAAATACTATCGCGAGTGCTTCTTTATGAATCTGACTATAGTGTTGTTCAGCGGAGGTGAGCGCGCGCGACACATACGCCACCAACCGCTCGCCACCGCCGGCGGGCGCGCGCTGCGCTAGCACCGCGCCGAGCCCACGCGAGCTTGCATCGCATGTTACTACTCGTATGCTCTCCAACGACATATCAAAATGTGTCAACACTTCCGCACTACACAAAAGCTTTTTAATTTTATTAAAACACTTTGTATGTGACATTGTCCATCTCCAATGTTTACCCTTTTTTAATAAGTCAGAAAAAGGGGTAATATGAGTACTTAAATTTTTTATAATTTTCCCATAGAAATTAACCATGCCTAAAAATTATTTTAATTCCGATATATTAGTTGGATGAGGCATACCTAAAATAGGCTTTAACTTTTCCGGGTTGACTCGAACACCCTTGTTATCTATTATGAATCCTAAATATTTTACTTGGGGAGCCATAAACTCACATTATTATTTTTTTATTTTTAATCCGTTAGTTTCCAAGATACTAAATACTTGTTCTATACTTTTTAAGTGCGAATCCCACGATTTACTTTTTATTAGTATGTCGTCGTAAAACACAACCACGTCCGGCACATTTTTAAAGAGATTTATCATTATCTTTTGAAAAATTCCGGGACTAGAAGCGAGACCATACACTAGGCGGTTGTATTTAAACAGTCCTCTATGCGTATTAATAACAGTGTAGTTTCTAGACGTTTCATTTAAAAGTAACTGATTATATGCTTGTGAAAGATCTAGCTTGGTGAAGTAACGATTACCACTCAAACCACTAAATAAATCTTCTACCTTTAGAACCGGGTACCTATCGACCAACAAAGCTTTGTTCAGTGTCACCTTATAATCCGCGCACAGCCGTATTCCGCCGTCCGCCTTCCTCGCTATAACCAACGGCGTGGCCCAGTCCGAGCGGTCCACCGGCTCGACGACGCCTGCGCGCAGCATCGCGTCCAACTCTGCATCCACCCGCGGGAGTAGCGCGTACGGCACGGGTCGCGCGCGGCAATAAATCGGCTGCATTCGCGCACGTGCAGCTTGACCTCTTCACCAGAATACTTGCCCAATGTGCCGTCAAATAGATTTTCATGCCTGGAGATAATATTTTTAAGCGAGTTATTTTTACATGGTACCATATTATGTATTTCTGTACACTTACTTAACTTAGGTATTTCTATACACAATTCAGACAGCCACTGTCTCCCTAATAAACTAGTGCTAACCTTATTTATTACATATAAATCTAACTGTTTTACATTATTATTATACTCAACATTTGTCTCCAAGTACCGTATTGGATAAATAGCTGAACCATCGTAAAATTTTAATTTTAATGTACACGTTTTTAAAGGTAACTCCTTAAATAATTTAATGTATGTTGAATAACTTATACAAGATAATGCCGACCCTGTGTCGATTTCCATTTTTAAGGGCTTATTATTTATAATTATGTTCATACACACCGGTCTATACTTCGCTAAAGACATCTGATACATCGGTTCCTCGCCATCATCAGACGCGTTCTGATCATCCTCAGAGACGTCACCCGTCGCCGGCCCGCTCAACCAGTGCGCCGCACCGGCCGCAGCGTGGGTGCCCGCGCTAGCGCTCGCTTGAGCAGGCATCCGCATACCGCGTGCCGCCGCCGGCCCCGCCCCGCGGCGCTGCTTCCCGCCGTACGCGCTGTGGCCGAGCGCGCGACCTCTGCGTGACCTTCCTCACGCACCGTTTGAATTTGAATTATCCGATGTCATACGACGATCGAATTCCTTCTTCATGCATACTCTTCGCAAATGGCCTTTTTTCCCACAATAAATGCATTCAAAATTTTTATACCTGCAGTTTTGTGAGCTATGTTCGTCGCCACCGCACGCTGAACAATTTCTGTTTCCTAACTTATGTATCTTCTCGCTAAATTCCCGGTCCGGATCTTGTTCCCGCGAGCCCTCCACAGCTCCCGCATCCCGCTCGGCTGCCTCTAGGGTATTAGCTAACTGTAACGCTTTTTTCTAATCAAGATCATTTTCTGCAAATAATCTCTGTCGAATAAAATCACTCCGCAAACCGCACACAAACTGATCTCGTAGGTTTTCCTCTAAGTTACTTTTAAACTCGCAATATCTAGCCATCTTTTTCAAGTCCGCCACGTAGTTCGCTATCGATTCGCCTGCTATTTGCCGTCTTTGACGAAATCTGTACCGTTCTGCCAGGATTGATGGTGTCGGTTGCAGGTGTGCACGCAGTAGATCCACCGCGCCCGCATACGATAGACTTGACGGCTTCTTAGGACTCCCTAACGTAGACAACAATTCGTATGTTTCGTCACCGATGAGCGCGATTAAAGTTGGTAACTTTAAATCGTCCGTTATTTTGTTAACCACAAAATACATTTCTAACCGATCCACATATGCTGACCAGTTGCCGGTTTTCACATCAAAGTCCTTGATTTTGCCTACAGACATTGTTGCGACTATTGTCTACGACACGATCAAACAAAATTATTCCACACCGAACCAAGTTTTATCCTCGTCGCCACTGATAAATAAAAGGCGTGCGTCAAGTACAGGCATTTATTTGAACTGACGACGGAAATACAATGCGCGCTTACCGGCTAAAACTACCCACCACATTTTTTAATATGCAACATTTGGCAACAATAATTTTGTACATTTAATTATTAATAACTAATTAAATAATTAGATAATAGTGTGAGCAATTGCGGATTCAAATTGAGCATTTTGTGAACAATAATAAGCACTTGTTCATTAATATGAGCAGTTTAGGAAAAAACAATTTTGTACGTTTAATTATTAATAACTAATTAAGTAATTAATTAATAATATGAGCAATTGCGGACTTGAACTGAGCATTTTGCGACCGATTATGAGCACTTATTCATTAATCTGAGCGGCTTAGGCAAACACAATTTTGTATTTTAAATTATAAATAACTAATTAACTAATTAATTAATAATGTGAGCAATTGCAGACATGAATTGAACATTTAGTGACCAATTTAAAGAACTTATTCATTAATCTGAGCGGTTTAGGCAAAAACAATTTTGTATTTTAAATTATTAATAACCAATTTAAGAATTAATTAATAGTGTGAGCAATTGCGGATTTAAATTGAGCATATTGTGAGCAATTGTGAGCACTCATTCATTTATAAAAGAGTTTATTGATTTTAAGTATAATAGGCAAAAACAATTTTGTATTTTAAATTATTAATAACTAATTAAATAATAAATAAATAATGGGAGCAATTGCAGATTTTAATTGAGCATTTAGTGAGCAATTTATAGCACTTGTTTATTAATCTGATCGCTTTAGAAAAAAACAATTTTGTATATTAAATTGTTAATAACTAATTAAATAATTAATTATTAGTGTGAGCAATTGCTAATTTGAATTGAGCATTTCGTGAGCAATTATGTGCACCTGTTCATTAACCTGAGCGGTTTAGGCAAACACAATTTTGTATTTTAAATTATTAGTAACTAACCAAATAATTAATAAATAGTTAGAGCAATTGCGGATTTAAATTGAGCATTTTGTGAGCAATTATGAGCACATACACATTTAAAAAAATTGTTGGTTTTAGGTATAATAGACAAAATTATTTTGTACTTTTAAATATTAATAACTAATTAAATAATTAATTAATAGTGTGAGCAATTACGGATTTGAATTTGAAATTTAGTGAGCAATTTAGAGCATTTATTCATTAATCTGAGCAGTTTAGGCAAACACAATTTTGTATTTTAAGTTATTAATTACTAATTAAATAATTAATTAATAGTGTGAGCGATTGCGGATTTTAATTAACCATTAAGTGAGCAATTATGTGCACCTAGTCATTAATCTGAGCGGTTTAAGCAAACACAATTTTGTATTTTAAATTATTAATAACTAATAAAAAATAATTAACAAATAGTGTAAGCAATTGTGGATTTGAATTGAGCATTTAGTGAACAATTTAGAGCACTTATTCTCTAATCTGAGCAGTTTAGGCAAAAACAATTTTGTATATTAAATTATTAATAACTAATTTAATAATTAATTACTAGTGTGAGCTTTTGCAGATTTTAATTGACCATTCAGTGAGCAATTATGTGCACCTATTCAGTAATCTGAGCGGTTTAGGCAAACACAATTTTTTATTTTAAATTTTTAATAACTAATTAAATAATTAATTAATAGTGTGAGCAATTGCGGATTTAAATTGAGCATTTAGTGAGGAATTATGAGCACCTACTCGTTAATCTGAGCGGTTTAGGAAAAAGCAATTTCGTATTTAAAATTTTTAATAACTAATTAAATAATTAATTAATAGTGTTAGCATGTGCGGATTTTAGTTGAGCATTTAGTGAGAAATTTATAGCACTTATTCATAAATCTGAGCGGTTTAGACAAAGAAAATGTATTTTAAATTATTAATTACTAATTTAATAATTAATTAATAGTGTGAGTAATTGCGGATTTAAATTGAGAATTTTGTGAGCAATTATGACCATATATGAGCATTATAAAAAATTTCATTGATTTTAAGTATAATAGGCAAAAACTATTTTGTATTTTAAATTACTAATAACGAATTAAATAATAAATGAATAATGTGGGCAATTGCAGATTTGAATTAAGAATTAGTGAGCAATTATAAGCGCATATTCATTAATCTGATCGGTTTAGGCAAAAACAATTTTTTATTTTAAATTATTAATTACTAATTTAACAATTAATTAATAGTGTGAGCAATTGCGGATTTAAATTGAGCATTTCGTGATCAATTTTTAGCTTTTATTCATTTATAAAAAAGTTCATTGATTTTAAGTATAATAGGCAAAAACTATTTTGTATTTTAAATTATTAATAACCTGATCTTGAATTCATTAATCTGATCGGTTTAGGAAAAAACAATTTTTAATTTTTAATTATGAATAAATAATTAAATAATTAATTAATAGTGTGAGCAATTATGGATTTAAATTGAACATTTTGTGAGCAATTATGAGCAGTTATTCATTTTTAAAAAAAGTTTATTGATTTTAAGTATAATAGGCAGAAACAATTTTGGAGTGTAAGGGGCTGGAAACAACACCTTTACCAGCCCAAACGCCAACCCTACCTGCACGTGGTACACTCTGCTGACCTACGGACGGGGCTCTGGCGACCGACGTCTGGCGGGATAACCAGACAGCGCTTCATACAGGTAGAAATACCCTGTATACTGGATACAACACCTCCATAACGGGTTTCCCTACCTTGAGCGGGTAGGTGTTTTTGCGTCAGATGGCAATCGGCAATAGACTAATAAACCCCAAAAGCCAAATCTTTAGAAAAGAAACATGGAAAGGTTACGTAATGGATTGAGTTTCACGGATAGGGCGTCGCCGCGAAACGACGCGCAGTCACATCACCCTAAAACTGCGAATAGTATGCTAGGGCTACCGAGTCAAGGACGGGCTCGGCTAACGACGTTAGTCCCAAATCGTAACCTAAAAGTCCGCTTCGCTACCTTAAATGTAGGAACATTAACGGGGAAGACTAAGGAACTTGCCTCTCTTTTCAAGCGCAGAAGGGTAGATTTTATATGTCTACAAGAGACTCGATGGACTGGATCCAAAGCCCGTAATATCGGAGAGGGCTACAAACTTATGTACGTAGGTGCAAAGCATGGTAGGAATGGCGTAGCAATTGCTGTCAAAGAAGATCATCTTGAAAACATCCTGGAGGTCAACCGTATTAACGACAGACTCATGTCAATAAAGGTACTGGTGGAAGGTGAGGTACTAAATATTGTAGCTATATTTGTATTGCTTCCCAAGTGGGTTGTAGCCAAGCAGAGAAAGACAATTTTTGGACTTCCCTAGAATACACTCTTCAATCAATATCTCCTAAGGAAACTACTTTACTGGGAGGTGATTTAAACGGCCACATCGGAGAAGCAAACAGCGCTTTCAAAGGGGTGCACGGAGGTTACGCATACGGAACACTAAACGATGCTGGTAAAGTCATTCTCTCCACGGCAGCAGCCTTCGATCTTGCTATTGCCAATTCCTTCTTCGCTAAAAAGATCGAACATCTGATCACGTATAAAAGCGGCCAAACATCTTCACAGATTGACTACATACTAATCAACCGAGCTCACATTGGCCGTGTAACAAATTGTAAGGTTATTCCGGGAGAATGCGTCGCCCCCCAACACCGTATTTTTGTTGTAATGGACGTGCTATTCAAACGACATCCCAAGGAAAAACCAACTCAAATTCCTGAACTCACCAAATGGTGGAACCTAAAAGGTGAGAAAATTCCCGAGTTCTGTGAACGTCTTGCTGATTTAAAGGTTGATGTTAAATCAGATATTGACACCATATGGGAACATTTACGTAAGTCCATTATAACTACTGCAAACAACATTCTTGGCCGTACAAAAAGCGGTAAAAAATCTGACAGAGAGACGTGGTGGTGGACAGAGAAGGTGCAAGATGCAATACGGGAAAAGAAAAATGCTTTTAAGACCTGGCAGTCCACTTTAACCCCAGAAGATCGGGAAAAGTACAAAGCAGTTAAAAAAGTTACCAAGAAAGTTACAGCCATAGAACGTGCGCAGTCCCAGAAAACGCTTTATAGTAAATTAAGCACAAAAGAAGGCCAAAAGTGTATATATAAGCTAGCAAAACAGCGTTGTCAAAGCACAAAGGATCCGGCCAGGTGTAAAACTATCAAAGATCCAAATGGCGACTTGTTATATAAAGACCATGATGTCATAACAGCTTGGCATCATTACTACGAACAGCTACTATCCCTACCCCATCTAGCTGCCACACAACTTCCTGGAGTGGAAGTGAATGCAGGACTTATACCTCCAATACACCCTGATGAGGTAAAGAAAGCCCTACACAAAATGTCCAACAAGAAAGCCATTGGACCTGACGGAATACCAGTGGAAGCTTGGAAATGCTTAGGTCTACGCGGACTCGTGCTGCTAACCGATTTCTTTAACTGTATGTTGTTCTCTTCAAAAATGCCAAAGGCGTGGAGATTGAGCACTATAGTTCCCATCTACAAGGGAAAAGGTAGTAAGTACAAGTGCAACAACTACCGCGGAATCAAGCTCCTCAGTCACACCATGAAGCTCTATGAGAGGGTAATTGACAGCCGCATAAGATCCGAGTGCGAGCTGTCTAAGAACCACTATGGCTTCGTACCTGGATTGTCTACCACGGATCCGATGTTTGCTCTTAACACGATTGTCGAAGAGTATCGCGCGAAAAACCGACCATTACATGTCGCATTTTTGGACATGGAAAAGGCGTTTGACCGTGTCCCAAGGGATACGATCTGGTGGAGCCTTCGTAAGAAAAATGTCCCCGAACACTACGTTAACATCATTGCCGACATGTACAGAGATGCGAGATCAATGGTTCGGACGGTGGTGGGTGAGACCAGGTCGATAGCGGTCACAGAAGGAGTGCACCAAGGTTCTGTATTGAGCCCTTTTCTGTTTTGTTTGGTTCTGGACTCACTCACCGAAGCGGCACAGAATTCAGCAACGTGGACATTTATATACGCTGACGACGTAGCCATCTGCACAGACAGCCGCGCTCACTTGCAAGAGGCACTCGTGTCGTGGAAACATCAGTTACAGACCGGTTGCCTAGTGCTGAGTGTGGCAAAGACTCAGTTCATGTCCTTCAACGACCCAGATACAAACAATAGTCCGATTTCCATCGATGGACAATTGGTGAACTCGTGTGATCAATACAAGTATCTGGGTAGTATGATGAGCGGTTCTGGGGACTTGGAAATTAACATTCAGCACCGAATAGCCGCAGCGTGGCTAAAGTGGCGAGAAGTGACTGGTGTCACGTGCGATAGGAGAATGCCGGTCAAACTTAAAGGTTTAATCTATAAGACGATCATCAGACCAGTCCTATTGTATGGCAGTGAAACATGGGCCGTAACTCAAAAGAATGTGCATACCATGCAAGTTGCTGAGATGAAGATGCTGAGGTGGATGTGCGGCGTTACCAAGCGCGACAAAATCCGCAACGAGTACGTGCGAGGAAGCTTGGGCGTGCGCGACATCGCTGACAAGATGCAGGAAAGTAGGCTGCGATGGTATGGGCACGTGAAGAGGAGGCCACCCGACTACGTAGGGAACTTGGCACTACAACTCTCCATCCCAGGTCGAAGATCCAGGGGCAGACCCAAAACACGATGGAAAGATGTAGTGGTAAAGGACATGAGAGAGTGCGAAGTCTCCGAAAATGAAGTCGAGGATAGAGCGAAGTGGAGGCGTAAGACAAGAAAGGCTGACCCCACCACCATGTGGGACACATAGCCAGGAAGAGAGAGAGAGAGAGAGGCAGAAACAATTTTGTATTTTAAATTATTAATAAATAATTAAATAATAGTGTGAGCAATTATGGATTTAAATTGAGCATTTTGTGAGCAATTATGAGCACTTATTCATTTAAAAAAAACTTTATTGGTTTTAAGTATAATAGGCAAAAACAATTCTGTACTTTTAATTATTAATAACTAATTAAATAATAACTTAATAATGTGAGCAATTGCGGATTTGAATTGAGCATTTAGTGAGCAATTATGTGCACCTATTCATTAATCTGAGCGGTCATACTTCCAAGCCAACTTCTTTGTGCTCTATTGAAGGTCGTGCGATCATGCGATGCGACCGAAATGTCTAATTTTCGTCGTGCGATTATCGACGCATCGTATAGATCGGACGATCGTTCGATGAAACATACTAATCAGTACTGAAAGTCGTAATGGCGCTAGCGTGATCAAGGGGCAGAGGCAAGGAAGGGCTACTATACTATTTAACGCTGGTATTCTGTGAAAGCGTGTCCCTGCTCGAGTCGACCCATTCGTGCTCCAACCATAATATAGCTGCAGCTTGGCTTTGCCACGCAACAGAGCCTTTTAAATGTTACTATTATCTATTGCATGTAAAAACAAGTAGTTTTAACTAACTTTTTTATTATTAGCTTGACCTGTATCTGTGTAGGTATGTATGAATGTAATGAGACATATATAATTAATTTTCACCCACATTCAGACATTTAATAATTTGAAATTTAATAGCCCTATTAAAAACCGCCGGCCATATTATACAATAATTTCATGAAAATATACTCAATATTTTCATTGAAAATTCTACAGCTCATTAAAATGCTTTTAAAGTTAATTTCTTTAGAACTCTAATATAGGTACTAAGAATACTTTAGCTGAAAAAAACATTGAATTATTTTCCCACTAATAACCACTACACTAGGCAGGCGGGTAAGGGTAGTCTGTGGAATTTGGAATTGTTATTTTCGAATTAATATATTATGTTATTCATTAGTAGTATGCATTTATTGCTCTTGAAATTGTTAGAACCCTTGGTCCGTGTAAGGAAGCTATTTATTATTAGCTATTTATTATTAACTGACCCGGGATTCGAATGTGTGTTCACGGAAATGAATAGTATATATATATAGAAACAGAATGAATAGTGACACAAAGCTGTAAACCATGTTTATAAAGGATATTAAAATGATAGCGTAGAAGAAGATATTTTATAAAATTAACTCATTTAGTACGTTACCGCCAACATATTTTAGGAACGATACATTATATACATTTTTATTTAACCATATTAACTTATTTACTATAGTTATGGAAACTCTTAATATACACCATATGTGAATCTTTAAATCACTTGGTATATTTTTTAATATTTTATTTTACTAATATTTTTAAATAATCTTAGAATTTAAGTTGATTGTCTTCTTACTTTGTACATATTATTTTAATTATTAATTATACAATTTGATTAATTGGTTCATCTTTATATATAAAAATTACGTGTCACATTGTTTGGTCGTGATGAACTCCTAAACTAATGAACTGATTTCAATGAAATTTTGCACACTGTGCAGTTTGGTCCAACTTGACAGATAGGATAGTTTTTATCCTGATAAGTGACACTCAATATTTTTTTATTACGAATTTAAGGATTTTTTATATGAAGGGTTGTCGAAAAGGGCAGAACAACGTCTGCCTGGCCAGCTAGTATTATATATTTACTAAACGTTTTATTGCAATCCCTGTACTGGAATAGAATGGGATCACGAGACGACAGTTCGCAGGCTACCAATGAAAATAATTTGAAGTATTTTTTTATTTATAATTTTAATGCGGGTGATATTGAATATTTGTACCGACAAAACATCGTATGTTGTATTATGTATTTTAGAGCCGATTTTTAAAATTACTTTTGTATGCATAAAATAGTTAATTTTTTTTACTTTTATATTCAATCAGGTTATAATTTATATGTGTGATAACTCAATGTGACTATTGAAAAACATCAGCCTTTGATGGAAGTAGCATTTTTTCTAATATAAATTATTCACATTTGGTGTTACCTACAATGAATTAATTATCACAACCATTAGGAAATATAGGTACGCGCATAAAACACCAGCGTAATATAGCAGCATAATGCTGCTGCTTCGTATTGTGATTGGCGAGTGACAATAATCGGAGAACGTTTTGACTGGCAAAATGAAAAAAAAAATACAAAATTTATTTAAATATTTTTTTTCTTTTCCTTCTTTAATTTGTTTTGGCTTTTTGTCAAAATGACATGCCAATCCCATCACACCTTATACTAATTACTGTTACACTAGAACGAAATAAAAATGTATAATTGTAGTATATAGAGTATCTACTGGTTAAATTACCAACCTAAAAAAAACTTATACTAGATAGAGAAGATAATTATTCCATCCTAGAAGCAAGCCGGAATAACTCTCTTGACATCTTTCATTTGGGGTTTGATAAAACCATTTGCACTAGATCGACGTCCAAAACATTTGCGTTAAATTATTTCAACACAGCCTGTCGATTCTGAGAATATGATATAGGTAGTTCTAAAAATCAGTCGAAACTCGAAACTTTGTCGCCCGACTCATAATCGATGAAGTCATTCAGTCTCAACTCGAAAATTTAATCGATTATCTTCGCCTAATTAAATATGGAGTATGGCACATATTGTAAGACCTATCAATCACTACAACTCATCACGTGTCCACTGATAAGCATAGGCCTCCCAAAGTAATTGACACAAAGCTTGGTCCTGAGCCACCTGCATGTTTCAGCAGTTCCTACTCCATCGTCGTTTAACATAGCGCTGGGCAGTAAGAGACAGCCATTGCCATATTCTTAGAGCTGATGTTAATTAAATGTATTAAGGTTTTATGGTTAAGCATTATTGCGAAAACCAAAAGCGACTAAACGTAGTATTAGTACTTTCTTATGTTTTAATTGATAGGTAAAGCTAAAATTATGGCAAACTATACGACAAGGTGTATCAACGAAAGACGACGACATAGCTCGACAAGGCCGCAAATTGTTAGCGAAGTAAGGTGTGACCGCAGACCGCGCTAGGCAAGTTCCCCACCTTTGTCCCGACAGTTATTATGTTCAATTTAGACTTAGATCGAGGCACGCAGCACTAATCTTGCAGTAAGTTCGACGTCGCGTTACTAGCATGTGGATAAAATAGTTGGTCTCTACTAATTGCAGCAGGACTATGGTGGCAAATTGCGAGCTCTTATTAACATTGATGTATAGTTTCTTCTGCTAGATGTGATTATATGATTTATTTTCATTAAAGTAGCTATAAAAGCCAAACCTTTTATACAAGGTGTAACATATTAAACGCAAGATCTCTCGTGGGGTTGCTCAGACCATCAAATTGAACAACTTTCCCTATGGGACTAATTTCGAAATATGAAAAAAAATCAGCTTTGTCATACATTCGTGTGAAATTTCATACGTTCGTTTTTTTACGTGGTGTAGCCATGCTGCAGCTATATTAATAGTATAGTTGTGGCACGAATGGGGCGGCTCGACCGGGGAAGGACCACGCTCTCACAAAATACCATCGTAAAATAGCAACTTAAAATGTTTCATATGGTAAGTGTAGAGAACCGGAGACCCTTTTTACTAGAAATGATGCATTCCACCTTAGTCCTCACGGGTGATAACGCATCTGCATTTTGATTCGTAAACGTAGATAGATGTAGATGCCGCAGCAAACACTTACCATCAGGTGGACTGTGTGCTCGTTTGTCACCCTTATACTATAAAAAAAAAACGTCCGGTGACATTTTGTATTAAACAGCTGATTTATTTATTTCGAAGGTGGTCGCATAGTGTAAGTTGTTCAATTTGATGGTCTGAGCAACCCCATGAGAGGGTTTGCGTTTAATATGTTACAACTTGTATACTTTATCTTACTACATCTTAGTCTTCAGAGGTGACAACGTATTTGTGGCCCTCTTTCTTGCTTTTGGCTACTGGCGTCCATGGACTGTTGTAGCAACTTACTATCTGGTGGACTGTAAGTTCGTTTGTTACTCGAATTTTATAAAAAAAATCAGTAATGGATAAGAAGGTGGACAAAACTGAGTGTTCTCTGCCATTCAGCCTAAGCGCAGTTATTAAACTTCAAAGGCGGTTACAAAGAAAAATAAATAATAAAGATGCATTTAATATATTATACGTATGTATGAAACTGTCGGTCATTATCATGAGTTTCGAACTTGCCGAACGAAATCAACGTCATCATCATTAAGATCCATCACAATTTTACTGCTGAACTTAGGCCTTCCAACGACTTCCTGCAATGGTTACCAGGTCGTCACACAATCTATAGTGGCGCCATATCCATAGCTCGCTGAGCGTCCTTGAGATTTCCTATACGGCCAGCTGTGAAGGACTAGCTGTAGATTCATATGATTTATATATTCATATTCACCACTGGTAGCACGCACTGGTACACTTGTTACACTTATACACTGCTGTTTTTAAGTTTAAAATTTCCTCCTTTCTACACCGATTTCACAATCTGATACTATCTTGGACGCGGGCCACTCGCTGTGCATCTTTCAGTTCGTAAAATATTCATTTGTAAAGCTTTTTTATTTTACCGATTTGTTGCAAAAAATAATACTGTATTAACACTGACAAATTATTTTTGTAGTTTGAGACGGAACCACTTCTACTATCGTTGTCAGTTCGTCATTATGAGCCTTCTTCTCCGGACGGCCACACCAAGAAGGAAGGAATGGTTCATTTGTGAGGTCAATATTTATACCATTAAGGTGACAACTGGAGCTCATAGATGAAGATGTATTTATCCTCGATTAGCAATTAAAATGCAGATGCGTTGCCACCCACGAGGACCAAGATGGAATGCCCTATTTCGGTAGAAAGGGTCTCCGGCTCTTTACACTCAACATAAAAAACCACAGCGGTATTAAACTT